AAGGAGAAGGTAGGAGAAGGAGAAGAAAGAAGAAGGCAGGAGAAGGAGAAGGAAGGAGAAGGAGAAGGAAGGAGAAGGAGAAGGAAGGAGAAGTAGAAGGAAAGAGAAGGAGAAGGTAGGAGAAGGAGAAGGCAGGAAAGGAGAAGGGATTAAGTTTTGGGCAAATTTTTTTATTTTTATTTAGATACAGGGTGTCCCGGGAAACTTGACAGTTGGTAAATAGTTTTGAATGTCTTTTTCCATATACTTTATTTCATATTAAAGACTTTTTTATTTATTTCATTAAAAAAATTCTTTTACTCAAAAATGTTTAATTTTAAAATCCATTCTTCTATAATATGACTGCCATTATTTACTTATTATCATTCTCTATGGTATTAAACAACTTAACAAATTATGGAAGAAGACATTTTAAGCTATTCACCAACTGTCGTGGGACACCTTTTATATTTGCAAACATGTGTTCTGTTGAGAAAGAACCCCAAACCGACTTATCAAAATCTTCATGGACAATTGACATCTGTTATCATGCAGAATTTTCAGAATTCATATTTTCATGGAAAACATGTGTGCTTCTATTAACAGAAAAAAAAATCAATCTATTTTAGACGTTTAAATACATTTGGACATAGATTTGGACATTTTATTTGGTATAACGTATTTACTCTGGGTGGTTCTTAGTTTAACAAATCTACAAAATTCATCTCTGAACACTAGTCTAAAGGGTTTTCGCAATTTGTCGCATTGAAGTGTTTTTTTTAGTGGAAAAATGAAAGGGGAGGGGAGGCATGCCGCAACTGTATGACTTCCTGTCCGCAATTGACACTCAATCATTAATTTGCGGCAGCAGACTTATCCATACTCTTTCTGTTTGTACCCAATTGTCTTCCGGTAAAATATCTCTACCTTTGTGAATTAAAAAAGTTAGGATTTTATCGTATTTTGAAGTATATGAACAATCTGTTTAATTTTAAATAACAAAAGAAAATCTTTACTTTGAACTTTTGAAGTGCTTAAACTATGTGAGCGGGAATTGCAACAGCACCAACTCCGAATCTAGCCACAAAATATGGGGATACTGTCTTCCAGGTTAGTGTAGTTATATTCATTAGTTCCAATGTTTCCTGCTCAAACAGATTTTGTTAAGGGTCATGTACATATATAATGCAATATACTGAGGTAAGGGGAGCGGGGGAAGGCACACCACACAATTTTTTCGTTCGCTCCACATATGACGTCACAATTCACCATTTTTTCCTCCAACCACGCCTTTTATTCATCCAGGCGTTGTTTCTGTGTTTTCAAATGTATATTTTTATTTCCTATAACACTTTTTTCAAATTAAATTTCAAACGTCATGTTATTTAAAATGATTTGATTTTGTTTAAAAAATAAAACAATGATTAAGCCCAACTTAGCACAAAACGTAAAATACCTTTTTTCGTACGGAACACACACTTTTCCCTTATTTTCTTATTTTACTCTTAAACTGCAACTTTTAGAATCTGCAACTAAAAGTTTACAATTTACATATTTTTGGTAAGGAGCATAACAAGTGGTTTTCATTTGCTTGGAGTATCATTCAATAAAAATGTCCATGAATTGTTTTAAGACTGTTAAACCTTCACAAGATGTTCTTCTTTAAACAAAAACAGGAAAAAATATTTTAAACCATTATGACGTGGTTCAAAATTTGAATAAAACCATGTAAACAATGCTGGGCGAAATAATGGTGAATAATGACTTCATTTGTGTTCAGACGAAAAAAAGGTGGGGTGTGCCTTCCCTCCCTCGGTATAGGGTTTGTGATCAACAATGCAGCTACGGAATTTGAAATTGATGAATGATATTTCCATGTCCAGAAATGATCATTCACATGTTTAAAAATAAATCAAAAGACAAAATTTTTGCCAGGTTTAATAATTAAAATAAATAAATAAATAACAATTAGAAAATAGATAATTGGTGTATTTATATAATTTTTTCCAATTGAAATTATTTATGCAGATTATTAATCTTAATGGAGGACTGAAGCATACAAAATATTACTAAATTATTTGATGGAAAAGAGTTCAACATACAAAAAATCTTACGTTTTTCTCCCCTCCAACAGCAAAGACTCCGTCAATTGTAGTAACAAGTTTGTGGGATGATCTGTATTATTAAATGTGATAAAACAACTTGATTAAAGAGACATTTAAGCAAAATTTTAAATGACCTGCCATACAAAGATGGCAATGCCGATTCAGAACGGCATCCTTTAAACCTTTCTTTGATCATGAAGGCCAGAGAAATCTGTCTGTTTATCTCTCAGAAAGTGTTTAATTTGCTGTAACACCAGAGAGTAATGTAGTTATCTGCAGCGTAAACTCAATACAGCTGATGCTCCCAACACACATCGAATATACCAAATATACTTTATCCAAAGTGAGTTCCTACTATTCTTCAATTTTATAATGCGAAAGAAATGTTAGAAGATTATCCTATTTTGCGAATATTCAATACTAGACTTTCCAGGCACTTTGCGCCCATCTTCTATTTGGATTGGAAATATTTTCTATGTGAATACAAAATAAAACAAAAACAAACAAAAGTTTGCAGAGTTCTAGTCCTGTCATACGAACGTATAATTAATTATACATATAATTATGTATAATAATTATCAATCAAATCTATTAAAAATTAAAAATATTAGATTCAAATAATAATAGGAGCAAACCTAAGTTACTTATAAGGCTCCTTGTGGGATATCGTCGTTTTCAGATTGGTTTTGTATTTGCTGAATATGATCTGTTTAAGCCTACTATTTTTATACAAAATTTAGTATATACCGATTTTTGTATAAATTCAGCCTTTACAGTCCCTTTAATCATTGTCAACCAGATCCATTCGCATTTATAGTACAGTTAGTGACAATTAAAAGATTTATACCTTGCAATGTTCATGGGAGAAATAGTTGACCATGTTCCCAATGAAGGAGTGAATACTTGGCAATCTAACATAATTCATCTATTTATTCAACCTTTTCTTATCAGACAGGACTATATGTTTTTTTTTTGCCGGGATTTTTACTTTATTTATCAAGATTAAAACGAAATCGAATAAAAATAGCTAAATCTAAATCTAAATCCAGATTTTCCAAGATAGTTAAATATATCAATTCAAGTTTTACAAAAATGTGCCATTCTTTGTGAAAATCCGTGAAATATAAATGGAAACCGGGCTTTTGTTGGTCAAAGGTTTACTTATTTGTCTTTGTATACCCAAGATCATAAAATTGTGAGTAAAAATGAAAAAAAAAAATTCTCTAAAAATTAATAAAAAAAATATAAGTGTTGAGTATACATACACCATATATATCAATTACATAACTAGGGGTGAATTTGGACTATTTTAGGAGTAAATCATTAATACACGTAATAAACTTACCGGTGGTGGGAGATTTCAAATTAGATGTTTCGTTGAATCCCCCCGACACCAGAATTAGTTCTTCGCCTGAGGATTTGTTCTAAATAGTGATAAAAAGCTTATAAATTTAACTCTATCTTAATTACCCCTCCCCCTTCCCCCCAAGAAATAACAATAAATTGAACATTCATTTAATAAAAAGGCATTACCAGGAAGGTTCCACATCCAAAAACATATCTTGGTATAGGGAGAGAAGGTAGATTTGTTGTAGAACCTTCAAAATAATACATTGTAAACATTTAGTTTAATTTATACATCACCTTTTACTGTTAATTTTAAAAACAATCAGTAACATCTGTTCTTGAGCAAAGTAATGGTTTATGATAAAAAACAAAAAACAGAAAGTGTTTCAAAATAACAACAAATTTTGCTAATTTTTTAACCTAAAACAGCTTCCAGAAAAGATTTTTTTGCACAATTTAAACAAACTGCAACAGAAGGCTTGAAAAAAGTATGAATTTGCTTAGCCCTATCAATAGGTGGCTTTTAAACCTTTAATTTATTTGACCTGAAACGATATCATAAACTTTAGTTGATTCAGAACTAATCACCATGTAATATTTGTCCAGATACCTAAACAAATATTCCATATTCCAGGTTGTTTGATGTGTAGTTTTAAGCCTGACTTTCTCCATGATCCCCCCCCCCCTCCTCCTTCCAATAAAAAAGCTGAATTACTTCCAATTGTAATATCAAATGTCATGATTATATATTTTTGAAAATTTGCTCAATTGGTCAATGCGTTATCAACACAGTATATACCTGACAGAACAATGAAAGAGGTTTTCAGAATTGACCAGTTCACCAGAAGAAACTGTTGCCTCCCCTAAAAATATTTTTGAATCAAGTTAAAGTTCTTGGATTAAGTTACTATTAATAAGTTATAAATATAACTAAAAACATATTTAAAATTGTATCAGATCATAGAGAAGCTACCGTTTTCTTGAAGATATTCCACCTGATTCCATGATCCTACATCAAGAAATTCTTAAAATCAAATTCCAATCAACAAAATGATCAAAACTTACCACTATAATGTTTCTTAGATCTCTGAGATTATGAGAATAGTATCAATTTTAAGAAGTACTAAAGATTGCAGCATTAAAATGTTTGGCTTTGAAATTCCCTGGATTAAAAACATCAAATATTAACTTTTAATAATGTCCTTATTAATCATGATTTCCGGAGCATAATTGTAGTAGTTGTTTCGTTATCTACGCCAATCAAGAAAATTATCCTTTAAGGTACAGACCAGCTATGTAAGGTAGATGAACTGAGTATGCAGTGTTGCAAATAAATTCTTTAGATTCACTTGAGACATATTAAACTTTTTAAAGATCTGTAAATCCTGAGTTTGAGCGCAAAGTCGACAATCAAAATCGCACTTTTGAGTGGATACGTTTTCAGAATCGATTTTTCTTAAATTACTAAACAACGACAACGAAAACTAAAGTAAAAATTATGCAGTAATCTAATTAGATGGTTATGAACGTATTTCTCAAAAGAAATATGTCAATAAATCAATGCTAGAATCAATTATTTCGTTTTCATCATTATATTGAATTTCTTATTTTCTGTGAATTTATTCCCAGATTTCTTCAAATTCTTCAAATGTCGTCTTTTCAATAATAATTCCAGAAAATCTGGAGAAAATCTTTGTGAATAATGAGAAACTAGAATAATGAGAAAATATAAAATATTAATTGAACAAGAACACTTATTCTCGATAATAAGATTAATATTATTTTCTCAACCTGCTCCTTAACAACTAATTAGTTTACTGAAGAAATTTGTTTACATTTTTTATCGTTGTTAATTTATAATCTAAGAAAACAATTCTGAAAATGTATCCACCCAAAAGTACGATTTTGAACGTCGACATTGCGCTCAAACTTAGGATTTACAGATCTTTATGAAGTTTTATTTGTCTCAAATGAATCCTAAAGAATTTTTCCACAACACTGCATACTCAGTTCAACTACCTTACATAGCCGGTCTGTCCCTTTAACAATCCAGTATATATTAACAATTTTCATCTTCAGAAAGGCATTTCAAAATATATAATAAATAATTCAATGTCACTTGAATATAACTTATTTTTGACCTGTAACATAGTATCGATCATGAACAACAGCTGATGAAACATAATCCCCTCCATATTTCAGAGCTTTAGTAAGTGGTTGTAAACCTAATCAGAAATGCATAGTTACAATTAGAGTAGTAATAATAATAAAGACTCTTATGTCAAAAACGAGGTCTTATATAACATCAACCTGCTATGGTTGTCATATTATAATCCCCAGTCTCCAGTTCATGTTGACCAAGCACATACAGGGTGTCTCACGAAACATGACAGTTGGTAAATAGTTTAGAATGTCTTCTTCCATAATTTGTTAAGTTGTTTAATACCAAAGACAATTATAAAAATAACTTGTAAGAGTCATATTATAGTAAAATTAACTTCAAAGTAAAATATACTTGTGCAAAAGATGTTTAAACGAAATAAACTGCAAACAGCCTTTAATATCTAATACAGTATATGGAAGACAACATTCAAAACTTTTCACCAACTGTCTGCAATGAATTATGTAATCATGCTAGTAATATCTTTATTATCTATGTCCGTTTATCTATCTTATCATGTTTTATGTTGACCCTGACTGGCCATTACGGTCAGTTTAATTTCACCTGTATATAAAATAAGGTAGTTCAATACGAATTGTTGATTAACACGGACGTGTACAGAGCCTTGAGTTTTGGCTAGAGATTGAGAGCCTTGAGTTTTAGCTAGAGATAGAGTACGTTAGATTCTAATTAGACTTTGAGTAGAGTTCTCGAGGCTAGATATTCTACATGTCATGTTTCATGGGACACTCTGTAAATCCCCAGTCATTCTTTCGTCGTTACTTTTCCCAATCAATTACTCCCTTTTTAAAGTATGATATTATTGTTGACACAAATAAAAGAACAACAGGGATATTCGGTAACTTTATTGAATAATGGCATGAAATGAGAAATAAAAGCAAAGTTTAAAAATATTGACCCTTAATTGGGAGTATCTAAACAGTTGAAAATGAAATAACATTGATTATTAGTGTTGAAAGGAATGGAACAGTTGGAGCTTCATGATGGTCAGCTTGCAGGTGTCAGCATCTTGGCAGCAAAGGGTTCACATCTAGGCGACGGTCCTGGAGGGTTTGCAGTCTGTAACATGTGTGGGGAGGAACGATTTGCCTCTCATACCACAGGACATGCGACTGGGTTTGCAGTCTGTAACATGTGTGGGGAGGAACGATTTGCCTCTCATACCACAGGACATGCGACTGTTTTGTGGATTTGGACATCTGGAGGCTTAGACATTAGCAGCATTCGTTGCTAGAGTAGGCATCTGCAGCAGTATGAAGGAGTTAGTAGTTCCTAGGATCGGAGGTGTTCACATCTCGACGTTCTAAAGCTAACTGACGCTGTTCCCCACAAGTAGAGGCGGTAAGGGGGGGGGGGAACATGAGGAGACACATTTGGAGCGGATATAGTATCATAGTATTGTGAATCTTCCGCGGTCAACTTCGCTACACAGTAGTAATCGTCTTCGTGTTTTCTTGAATTTGTTGACAATTATATAATTGAAGTTGAGAATTACTCACTTTACTTACATAGTTCAATAAGAATTTAAAGTTACTCACGCCATTTTTAACCATTAGTAATCATTTGTTGAGTCATTATCGGACACAAAATTAATGAGTTGCAGGCCCCTTTTTCCTCCGTTGTAACTTTGTCAACGTCATTTTTTTAATATTAAATGTAGTTTACCTGAAGAAACACTCTCATACTCAAACAATTGTTTTGTTGTGTCCTGTTTGTTGCCTCCACTAGCTATGATCTTTCCTCTAAAACAATTAAAATCAATTACAAACAGAGTTGTGAATAGGGTTTCCATTTTTCCGGAAAAGAATATCCATTTTGGAAATGGAATGATCCGGAAATTTGTTGCGTAAACCGGAATTCCGGGATAATTCCGGATCAAACCGTAAAGTTTCCAGTTTCCATTTCGTAAACCGGAAATTTTAACACAATATTAGACATAAAAAGCAATGTTAAAACATTAAAAGTTAAAACTTATTAGTTGACATACAGGATTTATATTATTTCATGATAATTCACAGTAGTATTACTTTAAATACAGCTACACCAACACCAGGCACACATTCTATTATTCTGTAGACATGACATTTGTGACTTTTAATAATTAGAAATTGAAAGAATTTTTTGTAAAAAAATATTTTTTTACAATGCATAGGGTAGGGTACAAGGTGGAAAAAAGTCCGGTAGTGAAAAAAAAATCTAAAATAGTCCATAACTAATTTTTGACTAAAGTTACAGAACTAAAAGCTATATTTTTCTGAAAAGCCCTTGAAAAATGGAAGTAGATTAAATATGTGTCACACTTTGTTTATTTGTTTAAAAAAAAGAAAATTTTCTTCATTTTGCTGACACTTTTTGTTTTTTTTAAACCCTCCCTAGCACCCAAACTACTAAAGTTATCGGTCTAATTTTTTTCCTAATCAGCTGGCCTTGAAAAATTGGGCTGTGAACGTGCATTTCAACCAAATACCTTTTCTCTCAGGTCTTTTTTTTGGGGGAGCGTGATTTTAATCTTTTTGAAGAAACAATCTCAAGGAATAATAATTGTCTTAAAACATTTTTTTAGAAAGTGAATATTTGCAAATTATCTTTTTTCCATCTCATAATCTGAGTTCGTTTCCTTTAAGTCCATTTGACAGCCCAAATTTTTATTCTTAATAATCTTTTTTGTTTGTTTATCTTCTTGTGATTTTTTACATTTTTTTATTTTTTTTTTATCGTTTTTGATGGTTATTATATCGTTAGAACTGACGAGGGTCAACCCAGACCGAAATATATTTTCAATAAATGTTGAACAAACATCTACTTTTTTACTCTACAGAGGTTTGGTCCATCACCATCACCGAATGTTAAATCTCTTTAAAACTGTTCCCGTATATTCATGGCTTTTTATTTATTTTCGCAAATACTGAAATTTACATAATTAGCATAAAAACCTGTTGAAAAATTGTCAAGACGACATTTGATAAATTCTTTCGATGTATTTAATATTTAGGGTTTAACTGTACCTAAAAAACTGAGCAGTGGTTCTGTAGAATTTTTCAGTCCTGCAAATGCTATGAATGTTTGAGTTCAGTCCAAAAGTGTAAAACATATATTCCTGAAAATACAACGGTATTGAGTATTATGGCTTAACCCTTTCAGGCCAGTTGGTAAATTTGATGATTTAATCTACAGGGTGTCCCACGCAACATGACAGTTGGTAATTAGTTTTAAATGTCTTCTTCCATACACTGTATTAGATATTAAAGGCTGTTTACAGTTTATTTCGTTGAAAATTCTTTTGCTAAAATATATATTTTACTCTGATGTTAATTTTACTATAATATGACTGATATATAAATATTTATTCTTATTTTATTTTCTTTGGTATTAAACAACTTAACTTCGACCTATGGCCCCATAGTTTTTCAAAGTAATTTAGCCGTAGAATAGAGATCAATTTTTTTTTGTCAATCTTGAGGTCAATTTCATCTTAATTTCATCTCAATTTCATCTTAATTTCTCTACAATATTCTGTAGCGATTGCAACCAACAATGATAACTAACATAATGGATCAAGCAATTCCGGTCTAAAATTTGAAAATTTTCACGCTTGAAAGGAAGGCTTTGACTCCGATTCACAAATGATTTCACAAATTGAATTTTCGGCACCAATGTTCATCCTCCATGATTTTAAAGATTTAAAAAAATTTTGATTGAATTTGAATGATTCAACCTTACGCCCAAGTTTTGACCTCAAGGTAATTAAATAATAATGTGAGGTCACTCAAAGGAATTATATCTAACCTGATAATATCCTCCAATGGTTACAAGATTGGTTGCAAGAATGCACTCCAGCTCGGCAATACTTCTATTCCAGCTGAATACTTGTCCATGCTGTTCACAGTATGTTCCTACAGACATCACATTTAGAAACGATGTTTTAGGTATCACATTCTGCATGCTGCTCTATTTTAATTTCTAAGAATGGTTTGACATTTTTACACCCCCCCCCCCTCTCGGCATTCCCCAACTTTCCTTGCCTGTTAAGGATTGTGATTTAAAATTACCAAAATACCTATTAACAATTTTATATTTTACAAATTTTACCTATAGCTAAATCTAATTGAGCATGGCTTAAATGTTATTTTGTTGAATCAAATTCGAAAATTTAAGATTTTAAGTTGACTTTAAGTAAAGAAAGTGTAATGTGTAAAGATTCTTTCATTTTTAAGATTTTCCAAGAATTTTACTCAGAGTTTATTTCTAGGAAACCTGAGAAATCTTCATATTTAGAAGGTAAAAATAAACCCAGAATAATAAGGATGCTAGTTAGTTTTTTTTAACAATTTATTTCTAAAAAACAGGATTTTTATTAAAGATAAATAAAAATTCTTAAAATTTGTATTCTGAGGGTTGAAGTTGGCTTTATTGATAAACAAATACTCTGTTAGGTTTCATCCTTTCTTGGCAACCCTGTAATATAATGCATAATGTTTTTTTTCATGTCTCTTGTTAAATACATAAAAGTTTAACTGAGCCCGAGATTTAAAAATTTCGGCTCGATCGGCGAGTCAACTCTGAAGACAGCTTGTGTCATGTGATTGACAGCTGCAAGATCTTCGGCTCTAAAAGGACAATTTTTTTTGAATTATTCTACATCGACTGCTATGATTAACGGTGTTATAATTGGAAAATTGAGTAGTTAACCCAACTCAACAAAGCATTTTATCGTACTTTGACTTCAATTTAACAGTTCTTACTCCCAAATGGTTTTAACAATAACTTTAAGTCTTTAGTATCTTATCAAAAATGTTTGTAAAATTAGATTCAAACTTCTCGAAAATGGTTTGTCAACAATTATTGCAAAAACATGTTTAACGAAAACTTTTGTTTGTTCCCAGTTTTATTGGCTGAAAGAGATTGAAGAAAAATTCGGAAACCCTAATTACAGTTATTGTCTGAAACTGTAAAAATAGTAAAATTTGACCTCTATAAAGTCTAGGCACATATCCAGGTTTGCACACCAGAAAACATTTTTCTAAAATGATTTATTTCACTTTTAAAAATGTTACAATCAAATTAAAATTACAGAATAAAGGTTACAATTTGATTGTTACCTATATCTGAATTCATGTAGCAATCAAACCGGCCATTTGGTTGGTCTTCAGGGATCTTACATTTACGATAAGGCCCTATACAAAAAGTGATTGCATGATGGTATTCTAGTTAAATTATCAAAGGGACTGGGAGTGTAATATCAAGTGACCCTCCATGCAAAGATGGCAATGCTCTAATCATACGGTACCTTCATCCAAAGTGATCAAATACTAAAGTGGACCAAACCCATAGTTGGATGACAACATTTTATGTCCCAAGTATTTAAAAATAATATTTATATATATATTGGTCTGTATACTGAGTGCACAGTACAACAGATACTGGACTCCCTTTGTTTACAAACACAGACTTAGAATTTGTATTTAACTTAAATCATAGAGAATAGAATATATATTTGAGTGGAACTCTGTTCCCTAGACTATTCATTTCAATTTCGAATTTTTTAAACTGTTAAATAAACTTTATGATGAATTAGGTGAATAAAAAACATCATTTGATTTGTAGTTATATCTGAAAATCATTGTTTGCAAAGTGGAAGGCATAGAGTCTATGTGAAATGATCATTGGTCAATTATGAAACCAGCCTATTTCATAATTTGGTTTTCTTTTAACAATAATTTTAGATTTTCTATAAAATGATATTCCAGGGCCCAAAAGATTATATAGCATAAATATGTGAAGTACACCTGTAGTATAGAAACAGTACAACAACATGGCCGTTTTACACTTCTTTCTAGTAAATTCCCCTCTAATATATATTCTATTCTCTATGACTTAAATATAGATAAATGTAAATTAAGATTTCAGATGTGAATTTTAGCCATTTTACTCACAATAAATAATTTTGGACAGCACAATAATGCCTGCATGCATAATCTGTAAAACAAGGAGTGCACAATTTGTGATACCGAAAAATGAAGATCTGCGAAATATATCTAATTGGTCTTGACTTTTACATAGGTCTTTAGTCTATTTTTTATAGTCTTTACTTTCCAAAAGAAATCTTTTCATGCAATTATTTCCAAACCAAATAAAACCTTATGGCCCAACCTGTCGTCGTTGCCTTAGACTGTTCCACTTTAGTATTTATTCACTTTGACCTTAATCTGATCAAAAGAACCTTCGTTGAGGGGGATTGCTCTTGAGGGATTGTATTTTGCAAGCACATGATTGTTCTGTGTTTAAGCATGATTTCGGCTTCAAAAGTACAGAAACTACATAATTACCACCTCCGGCCCTCTCTTAGTTAACAGTTAATAGAAAAATTTTGCATGAGAATTTTTGTTTCTAATGATAAGGGTTTAGTGACATTTAAATGTTGCACATTAAATATATAATTCTTTTAAAACAATAAACGATTTATGAAAAGGTTTTAATTCTGACCTGATAACTCCTTGTACACTTCTACAGTTTTCTCCTTACCTATTCCTTCTTCGATGAGCTCTCGATCGTACGCACTATTAAGTTTTTGATCAAGCAGAATTTGTGGAGACCTTTGTGGTTGTGTTTACTATCAAAGGATTACTACATCAGGGACTGAATTTAATGAATTTGAGCGTGGTTGCTAAAATACCTACCACCGCATCAGTTCAAATCTTAAATCACCGCTTCAAAGTCAAAGATTAACAAAGACTTGAATTGGTGATTAAAGATTTGAAGCGGTAGACAATTCAGGGACCGACCTGCAATCAAATTTGTTGTAAAGATATAATTTTAATTACTTATTTAACCCGGGATTACTCAACCTGATCGTTCTATCGAGAATTTTACAAACTTCAAACCTCGTTAATACAATCCTGACTAGCATTCATATTAACTGAGCTATTTGTACTTATATGTAATTTGCAAACTGATCATGAAATGTGCTATGTACTCTCTTGTCTATCACGGATTAAAACGAACCCGATAAGGTTCTTAGCATGAAAAAATGCCTAAAAGTTGTATAATTTATAGGTTAAAACTATGTAAAACGTCTCTGTTCATTGAGACAGCAAACACAATGCAAAATAAATGATAAAGATATTTTAATTTTTACCGAATGTTTGAAAAATGAATATTGCTTTCATTCCAAGTGCAACTGTTGTCAAACTAAAGTTTATCCCTTGATTTTTATTAACTATACAAAATGCTATAATATTATATCATATCGTTACATATCTACATTATTAACTGTAATACTAGCTATGAAAGTAGAGCCGATTTATATCATTATCATTATTTCCTTTAACTCTTTAACATCACATGTAAAATTTTGTGAAACTAACTATGTTTATGAAAATAAAAAATATGTTGTTTAAAAAAAGAATCTAAAAGTCAACAGACCTGAGTTCATGAATAGAAGAGACATGAAAAAATCCTGGGAGCCTAGAATAAGTTAAAAGTGCTGTACTCTGAATCTGATTGTAATAAATTAAGAAATTTAGTCTTTGTCAAAACTCTTTTACTACTATATCTTTGCAACCTAATGCAGTATACCTTAGAAATTTCTATGCATTCCGTTAGATCAAATAATTTAAGTTTTAATATTAAAGGTTTACACCATTAGGTTCCGAAAATATAAGAATTATAAAATTAAAGTTTGCGGCAAAGGCTCAATTCTTTCCATTGAAGAAAACTACTTAAAGAGACTGTAAAGGAAAAATGAAAGGGGGTAGAGTTCTTTCTCATGTTCCTGTCTCAAGAAATTGTTATAAAACTGTGTATTTATACGAAAATGTAAATAAATTTTTTTTTTATAAAAATCGTAGGTTTAAACATATCTTATTCAGCAAATAAGCAACCAATCTAAAAAAATGATATCCCAGAGAAACCTGAAAAACTTAGGTTTCCTCTTAAATTATCATTTGAATTTGATAATTGTTCATTTTTTATATAGATATAATTGATAATATAATAAATAGGTCTGTAGCATATGACCAGAACTCCCACCAATGGCAGTGCAGTATTATTATCATGTGTCTCCGTCTGTATCATGTGACCAGTATACTGCACTGCCATTGGTGGGAGTTCTGGTCATGTGATATGGACGTATAAATATTATTATCGATCATTTCTTTTGTAAATAAAAATTATTGAATTCAAATAATAATAGTATTACATATGAAAGAAAAATGAATCAATGCAACTACTCATTTGATTGAATATTCGACGAGTCGGTTTTCTTACAATTTATTATTATTTACAACGATACAAAAACTATAGGAAAATACTATACGGATCAAGTTGCGTGAATTGAGAATGGTTCAGAGTGATGGGAGATCTCCAGGGAAACCTATTAACTAGGGAGCTGGTCTTCAACTAACTATCTTCCCCAGATTTCACTCCACCCTAAACTAGAGTTTAACCCTAGTTCCCCGGGAGCTGGCCGGCCATCCCACCAGCACCCGGGCCTCTGGAATAACGGAACTATCGGCGTGGCTTCGGTTTTCCGCGTGGCTTGGGTTATTTATAGAATTCACACACAAACAGGAATAAATCCGTTAGATTTGTATAAGGGATGGAAGAGGGAAAGGGGGGGTGATGAAAGGAGAGAAAAAAGACCATTTATGATCGCAGGGAAGATCAACACATCACTTTCCTGCTACAATAGAAGCAAACCTAAGTAATTCAGGCTCCTCTGAGATATCATCGTTTTTAGATTTGTGGCGTATTTGTAGAATATGATCTGTTTAAACCTATGATCTTTTATACACAATTTTATATATATACATTTTCGTATAAAGGAATTGAGTTTTAACCACACATTTAAATGTTGAAATCCCAAAATCTTTGCAACCCGATTGTGTAAAACTTTGATTTTTCAAACTACGACTGTTTGATATAAAAGAATTCATAGTTTGAAATATCTAAGATCTACGACATCGGGTCACAAAGATATAGGGATTATAAAATCGGAGTTTGTGGCAAAAACTCAATTCCTTTTACACAACTTTATATCAATTTATCGAGACAGGAACATTAGATATTTTTTTTAAGTAGCTTTGTGAAAATGTGTTTATTCAAACTTAAAATATATACCTATTTTTTTGTTTGCCTACAAAACATGTCCCATTTCTGACCAAAAAAAGTGAACAGTAGATTCCATTAGCTAAACAAAGAAAACGATTTTTTCAAATACTTTGAACAAACTTTTAATAGATTTAGTTGTTTTAAATTATTGATTAATTATTACCAAGATTATTTAAACAGAGAAACGCGCAATGTTGTTTATCCTTTACTTGAATTCCTAATCAAAAAATGAAAATAAAGTTAGAACTTCATTAACCTTTCCATCCAATTTAAATGCAATTCTCAAAAACAGCGTGGTTTTACATGACCCTCCATCCAAAGATATCAACGCCCGATTTCCAATGTTAACCTTGAAACCTTTATCTGATCAATAATGTCGAAGCAACTGTAATTTTTCTAGGCTTAAAAGTGTCTAATCCTGATAACTCCTAAATTTTTTCCTGCAGTATTAAAATGCGCAAGTCATTTTTGTATAACGACATTGAATATGATTTATATATTTATAAATTATTATTATATATTTATATTTATAAACATTTTCATTATGATGAAAACGTATCCATTCTTTCTTACAAGCAAGTCACTTTTGTTGAGAAACCTCAATGAAAATAAACAGTTTATAGGAACAAAAATATGAATATCCAATTCATACTTGATCAGACAAAACGTTGAAGGGTATCCCTGTGAATCAAGTAAATTGCCATCCCTACTTGGAGGGTCAAGTGAAATTACGCTTAAACTCCCTCACGTTTATTATAAACTGTATGTAAACTAGGCAAATTGCTGCAGTCCACTTCAATTTTTAAAAAATAAAAAGATATATAGATGTTGGTGTCAATTCAATATGGAGTAACTTTTAATCTTTACTGACCTTGCACAGGACTGATGTACAAAGATTCTATAAAAATTGATGTTTTCTGATACCCACCAGACTGGAAAGTACCCTCAGTCAAACTGTAGTTTAAACAAATTTTCATTCTAATCCATTGCTGCTTTTTGTGATTGCATGATACACATATTCATTTTCCTATTGACCCAACATTCGTAAGACAAAGGATTTGAGTCTTGGCCACCAACTCTGATTTTCTAACCCCTATTTCTTTGGATTCAAATGTCGATGAATTCTGTTGGATCAATAATATAAGTTTGAAATATTAAAGATTTACGACATTGGGGTCCAATATAGGGGTTTTAAAAGAAGAGTTGGTGGCCTAGACTCAATTCCTTTAGTAGAAAGGTATGCACTATGATCTAGCCAGGATACATTTGTTGCATAAAGCGTTATAATGGGAAGTCCAGACTGGACAGTAGGACTGAGTGAATATACAGTGCATATTGTTCTGGCTTAGATCATGCAACTTTTAGAGTTGTGTGTGTGGAATGTGGATAGAATAAAAGTTAGTTATTAACAGATATCAAAACAGGCAACAAATTATTTCCAATCATATCAAAAGTTATTTCCAAAGCTTAAAAATTTTGCAAATAGGAACTGAGTTATTGCCAGAAACTCGAATTTTCTAATCCCTATATCTTTGCAATTTGATGGTGAGAACCTTTAATATTACAAATTTGATCTAACAGAATCCATAGTTTGAAATATCCAAGATTTATAGGTGCAACATTGCAATTGATTGAAAAGATAAAGGGATGAGGTAAAATTGAGCTAATGATACTCTCCTTATAATGAAGATGATGAGGAAGGAGAAAATCATTGTTACTCCTGATTTGTAATGTTTCATCGAACTGGTAAAATGAAACTACAATATTTTCAACACATATTCACTAATGCAGAGTAATTTATTTCTGTCCAGTGGAAATCCACTTACCATTTGTTTCTAACCGATTAGACCGGGCTGGCACTGGGCGAGGGACGGAACGTAGAGCTGCCATGAGCCCCGCAAAATGACCTCGGGAGCCGCCTGATATGCAAAACTATCTCCTAGGCCTATAAAACCGTCTCCATGCCTCTTGCTACGTCTCCAAGCCTCCGTATTTTGCCAGATATCTTTTATTGTAGAACAAAATGGGGGCATGGAGACAGAATGCAGGAGGCTTGGAAGTAGCAAGAGACACGGTTTCAAAGGTCTTAGAAGGCTTCGGAGGTCATTTTGCATAGCTCATGGCGGTCCTCACTGGGCACACCATTGCAGATTTTAAAAATGCTAATTTTAAAATAGAGCTTGATCGGCCGTTGGAGCTTTAAAAATGTCAGATTTTTTATGCTTTCCAATTTTAGATTATTTGCCACATGTCGGAGATTGTTTGTTCAAATACTTCTTCATTTATCTTTAGATCCAAATCTTTAGATCTGGAAAGTTTTTTTTGTCAAATTTCCTATAAGGAGTTGGTTCTTTGCCACAAACTCTGATTAATGATGTTTGGGTTCTTTCCCAAAGGATTTTTCCAAAGTGTCAACTTCCCAATAGTATTTTCCCAAAGGGCAATTTCCCAAATGTGCAATTTCCCAAGAGACAACTTCCTAAGTCTGTCTCAGCCGCAGCGCTCAGACCCTTAGCCTGTTCTAGCCGCGGCGCTCGGCCCCTAACCCATCCTAGCTGCGGCACTCGGCCCCTGCTGTAGCCTGCAGCGCCTCAGAGGGCCTAAGCTTACCTTGCTGCCACTTTATAGATCAAATATTATATATCATATATCATATACCATATATATTCTGATAGATCAAATATTATATATCATATATCATATATCATATATATTCTGATAGATCAAATAATCTATATCATATATCATATATCATATATATTCTGATAGATCAAATAATCTAAGTTTGAAATGTCAAAGGTTTAAACCATTTGGTTGCAAAAATATAGGAATTGAAAAATAAAGTTTGTATCAAAAACTCAAATTAAAAAATGTTTACTAGACGCATCTTTTAATATCTTAAAACCTAAAGCTTATATTACATAATTATATAAGACTAGTATGTGAACCCCGCGATGCCCAGGGTACTCATAGTTACACCCGTTGTTTATTTATCGCTTGGTCGTAAATTACGATTTTAGCTATTTTTTCTCTTTTAAAGTTTTCCACTAAACGAAGAATATCAAAACCAAGCTAAAAACATTTTCGTGGTTCTTCCGAGTTTCACAATCAAGATTTGAGGCAAATCGGTCGAAGGGTTCCTAATTGTTATGTTCGGACGTCTCTCTAGATAACAAAGTTGACTATATGAGATTAAATTAAAGGAACTACATGGATTCAATGAAAGTATTCGAAATATCTGTGAGAAAATTTTACCGACTGCATACTTTTGGACAAATGTCCTTCAAGATAATGCCTTATAATGATTGTGATTAAACTTTAAAGGAATTTATGGTCCTTAATTTAACCAACATATTTCACATCAGATTATAATAGCCTCGATATATATGGATACTATATATCATAATAATAATATTATTTATTCTAAAGCACTCAATTCCGTCCAACTTTCTTGCGTTTGTGTTTCAAGTTTTTGATAAAATTCAATTTAAACCTTATGGCACGCAATAAATGCTATTAATTATTGCGCAATTCCTTTCAAAAACTTAACAAAATATTCAATTTAAACTTTGGTATGTGGCATACAATAAACAGAACTTCACTAACATTTCAGTCTCAAATGCTAAGAAAATTGAATTTAAACTTAATCTTTTATTTTATAATATTCGTTTGCAGCATGGTAACCCAGAAAACTCTGGCATATGAAGACGACAGTTTAGACTCAGGCAGACATATGTAACTGCATAAGTTACTAACCAATTTTGTTTGACTTGTAACTATAACATCAAATACATTGTGATGTTGTCTTTCTGTACAATAGTTTACTGGTTCTCACTGTAGCAAAATATCTAATTTTGATTAAATGAACCTTACAATTTTAACCAAAAAAAGTTAGCTTAACCACAAGAAACTTTAAAATTTGAAAACTGTTGAAACAAGTGACACTCGGGCCTCAATTATATTTAAATCAACAGAGATATTTAATTTCATTCGAGTCCAGAAAATTTAAAATGATTGATTTTTAGATATGAAAGCAATTCCGATGCACGCAATTCCGCGAATCTTAAATTGCTTCCTTTTTCACAATTATAGCGCAATTGCGCAAGCGGAAGTAACCATTGCGGATGCGTTCCGCGCAACGGAATTCCAATTGAAAACCCTACTTTAATCTAATTATTTTTCGAAATCCATGGGATGTAATCCGTCGTCTTTGCAATAAAGACAGAGTTGCGGCATTTGTGTATATTCAGTGTACACTGATCTGGGGTATGTAAACAGCAGGTTAACAGTAGACAGTTTTTCTATACCATAGCATGAAAGATTTGTTGTATAATACTGCAAATTGAGTTATACGATCATCAGTAAACTTGAAAAGTTATCCGCTGGGCACATCAATACTCCTCTGAAACATAAGTGTGAACCATACCCCATAATCTACTCTGTTGTAAAGTCGTCTCTGACAAATTATACCTCCGCTAGACCCTCCGTTCACTTTCCAAACCAAACATTTTCAAGGTCTCTGCGTAAAATTAAACAAAAGCCTCATGAAGCTAATAAAACTTAAAGTTCAAAAAATAAGATTTAAACATAATTCCAGTGAATCATTTACAAACAAACAGTGAAATTTCTTTTAACCAAATGAATATTTATTTCAGAAGATAAAAATTGCTTTAGACTACAATTCAAACGACTATTCCCATGCTATACAATTCTAGATCGTAAGTTCCTTAAGTTTAATTCACAACAGTACCTTTTAAACCTTTTATTTGCCGATTCACAAAAGTACCTTTAAGCCTTTGTTCAATTCTCAATGGTACATATTTCTTTAACCAATTGTTCGATTTACAACAAAACTCATTTATTATAGTTACACCCAACTGGTCAATCTTTATTAACAATCATTATTTATATACATGTACGTCAATAACAATTTGTATTTTTGTAGGAAACCTCGTTACTGAAATATATTTTCAACAAGAAGTTATCATCTATGTGTTGTGTGGGAATTAGAATAATTATTCAGCCTACCGCCTTTGGATTTGTCATTCCTTGAGAAGCTTTTCCTAGGAAATATATACCCGGTTCCGACCTATATTCTCCTTCTTCCGCTTCCTCAAGTTGCATTTCCTTAGCTCCATTTCTGCCGCCCATTTCGAGCCTATATCCTTTTGATTGGTTTACATTAAGAGCTTATACCAAGGTAAATATGAATTTTAATTTAATTAATTTACATTTTTTAAGTTTTTTAAGAAACCAACATTTCTGCAACAGAGCTAGACTATCCCTCCCCCGCTCATGTCATTTGTGGAAATATTTTTTGAAAGAAGGATTGAAAGCTAGATCAACCAATTCGCATATTATGTTTTATAGAATGTAAAATAACTTCAAAAAAATATATTTTTTCATAGCAAGGGCGTATAGATGGGGTGTTCAGGGGGGGAGGGGGCTGATGAACTGCCCACGGCCACCATATATTCTTGAAATGTTTTCTCATTTCCAAACACCTAACGACTGCTGTCTTTTCAAAATTTACAACAAAATTGTCACCAAACCTTCCACCCCCCCGACCCCCAAGAATACATTCTGTTTACAATGGATATTTTGATTTTAAGATAAATATAATCTTAAAGATAATCTTAAACTTGTTTAGGTTTCATGATACCGGGTCAGGAGATTTATGTACTGCATGAAGTTCACAAGTGAAGGAAATCAGGAATATCATGAAGTTCTATTTCAAGAAATCTTTGAGAAAAGATAGAAATGAAGTTGCGGAGTACTTTACAAAATTATTCTTACAGCTTCCTCAGATTTAGAATTTGTTTCTTTCTAACTGGATAATGTAAAATGATTTTAGATATTGGTTTACCATTTTATTTAACTGTGTCTAGTGCTCTCTATGTAGTCATCAAATAAGCTTTTTAAAGTGAAAAGAAATAAAAACATGGCAAACATTTAATGTTTTTGCCCTATAATTTTCTGTTTTTGGCCTTTCATTCCACGTTAATTCACTTATCACATATAAACAGAGGAATATTGGATGTTAAATTTGTATCATGAGTATGATTAGAAATAGAAATTGCTCGTGAGAAAAAATAACAGTTTTTCTGAGTAAAATTCTCAATTTGGAGCACAAAAAATATTCTTGGGAAAAAAACTTTTGTATATGATAAATATTTTTTTCAAAATTCAAAAACTTTCTTCGAACATTCTTACCCTTCACCATTACACTTATTACATTTACATCTTTGAATGATCATCAAGAACAGTGAACTCAGTATATATATATTTCTTAAATTCTGTGCAAACAGCTGATTTATTATAAACATTTATCAACAGTTCCAAAACCAATAATATTTTATATTACAATTGCATTAAATAATCATTTATAAATCTTTTAAAATTCTGTGATAGTGATGAACCAAACCTCTGAAGAGTTAAAAAAGTAGATGTTGGTTCCACATTTATTGAAAATATATTTCGGTCTGGGTTTACCCTCGTCAGTTCTTGAGATTGTTTTTGTCACACATTATTTTCTTATTATTTACAAAAGATATTTTGTGGCATTACATAAATCAACTGAAGTTGCAATTTCTTGAAATTCAATTTTTATGCAGTGCAACAATCCTTAAAATACAGTAGTAAAGAAAATTGGCTTGAAAGTAAAATGTTTAGCTATCTCATAATTCCATTACACAACTCCTTAAGAGTTCTTAAACAGCATCATCTGGAACAGCTGCAGCTGCAACTTCTTTTCCAGCCCAGAAGTCTGGAGAAACACTCTGCCATGTTAGCGTAGTTGGGTTCAGCTGCTCTACCTAAATATATACTTTTGACTCTATCTATGTTGGACTTAATTTGGCAAACATGTAATCTTAAATATCTGTTTGGGGGAGATATTTTGAGGGGGGAGAAATAAAATCACATAAATTATGGCCATGCATGTTTATTGTTTAGGTTACACCAAACCGCGAAGAGAAACTTTCCCTGTAAGATATGTACTACTACTATATTGTATTTGTATACAAAGTGGATATTTCCCTAATGTTCAATTTCCCATGTGGAAACTTCACAAGTCTTCCCTAGTGCATCGCTTGGCCCTTTAGTCTTTTCTTGCAGCCCATCCTAGCCGCAGCGCTCGGTCAAAATTGCAGCCTGCGGCCTGCATCTAATTTTCCACAGATTTGTGTTCCTAAAGCCGGTTTAATATAGTATTTTGTGGATTTTCATGGTTAGAATTGGTCTATTCCAGGTTTTGATAAGAACAAGACTCAACTTGAGCCTTATACTCCACTAAAACCAACCAAGCTCGGTTTTTATTTTTATTGGGCCTAACTCCTCAAATTGAGCCTAAGATCTTGAATCTGTCAATCACATGACACAAGCTGTTACCAGAGTTGGGTCTTAGATTGGGTCTTAAAGCTGTGTTTAATGAATTACGACCCAAGCTGAAGCTTTTAAATTGCAGACTTTACCTAACCTTTGGGAAGTTGCTGTTTGTTAAATTGAACATTTCGGAAGTTACCACGTGTGAAATTGTCGCCTTTGGGAAAATTCCTAATACCTAATACGCATGTATTTCAAAATATTTGAAATTAAATGAATTCATGTTTTACCAAACCACCCCCTCCAACAGCAAAGACTCCATCAACTGTAGTAACAACACTGTGTTCTGCTCTGTAAAAGTAAAAAATGTGTGCTTTCTCCGGATTAATTAACGCCATCTTGTGATCATTTATTTTTGAATATTTGGGCGACCAATAAAGATTCTTCTTTTAACTTCAGAACTATTAATTATATTGTTAATGATTTCAAACATTGGTGACACTTAAACTATTATATATTCTTCATTATCCATTTATTGTAAGGACTATGTTTAGACCAAAAGATACCTAGGAGCATTCAAAGGAGATATTGTCGTCCAAACTCCAAGTGAAGGTGTAAATACTTGACAATCTAATTAAGAAAACAACATGGGGTTATTTCAAATGTTAATCCCTGTAAAGATATTTGATTCCTTTCTTACATGGTCTGAGCTGATCAAGCAATGTTCTTTTAAAAAGCTTAAATTCTTGGGTATTGTATTTAAGAAAAAGAAATTCTGACCTTAGTATTGAATAGGAAAAATGTCCAATTTTAGGCCATTCAGAAAGGCAAACCATGTATATATGATAGAATAGTAAAACACAATTTGTTAACCTGCAATATTACCAGAACCACCTCGTCCTCCAGTCACCAAAATCAATTCTTCTCCAGTGATTGCATCCTTAAACAAAATATGAAAAACATTTTAAATGATTCCATAGTATTTTTTTAACAATTTTGTTAATGTTTCTGATTATTCGGGACTTCGCTGGCAGAGAAGGATCAATCTTACCAAGAAAGTGCCACAACCAAAACTACGAACAGGTTTTAGAAGAGGAGGTAGAAATTCATTTGAGCCTAAACACGACACAAGTAATTTATTTACTGTCATATAACCTTGAACCTGGACCCTTACACATCACAGCACAGTGACAAATAACTTTGCCTGTGCTGAAAAGCCTTAGAATGATGGATATCAAGATTATTGCTTAAACTCCCGGTTTTCCAAACCCAAGATTACTTTAATAAACATTCTATATCCAAGAAAGAAATGTGTGTACATTGGATACTCAGATTAAGCAATCAGGATTAAGGATATTTCATTCTAAATTGTTTAGCTCTGAACAGATAATACTTTAAATTTTAATATCTAACTTCGAAAACCTGTGCTGAAAAACTTTAGAATGATGGATATCAAGATTAATGCTTAAACTCCTGGTTTTAAACCCGAGATTACTTTAATACGCATTTGATATCCAAGAAATAAGCAAGGAGAATTGAATACATGGAGCAATATGGTTTCCGTACACTTTGCTGTGACGTTTTTGGGCTGCTGGAGAACTAGTTTTTGCGTAACAACAATAATAAAGATTGTAAACAATAACACAAATGATAAACAGACATTGGTGCATCTCTGGCGTTAGATGAAGATTCACCGTATACTAACTCATGTTTGTTTACATTAGATCGGCTGCCTTTATTATTGTTGTTACGCAAAAACTAGTTCTCCAGCAGCCCAAATACGTCACAGCAAAGTGTACGGAAACCCTATTGCCCCCTCCTTGTATTCAATTTTCCTTGGAAATAAGTATATAATTCAACCAATCAGTGTAGTATGTTAAGATGTACTCTTTAACTTTTGAAAACCCGGTTTTTTTCTGGTGTCAATTGTGTCATATTAATTGAACTAAACATCGATTAAATGTATGTAAGATTTGGATTAATGTTTGTTATTTGTTAAGACTCTTTTAAAATGATGATAGTCCTAAAATGATTAACATGATTAAATTTACATTTGCTCAAATTCTCTAAAAGCAGACTTGTGAACAGTTGACTTCAATTCAATCGGTTATTAATACAATTTTTATCTAACGTAACTTTCATACAGTAGGGATATCCAAAAATTAGGATTAAGAATAAAATAAAAAGTGTGTACATTGGATACTCATGGATTAGGCAATCAGGATTAAGGATATCTCATTCTAAAGTTTTCAGCTCTGATTGCAAAGATTCAAATCTGAAAATAATTTCATCCTAAAACTTGGCTTTTTGGCTGGGCTTAGTGTTCAATTAACAACAGTTTTTTAAACTTTACAGAATATTCAGTTAGTAAAAGGAAGGGTGCTAAAGGGTGCTATGAAAACGCCTCAACACGGAAACTGACCAAAAAGTGACTTTTGGTCCGTTTCATTCTTATTTTAAAAATTTTATCAGAAATACCTTATTAATTTTTAGTTTGTTGTTTAGTTTCTTTTCTTTTCGTTCCGTTTACGCATATTTTAGGTTCGTTTCTGGTTTGAAAAAAAGTTATAAATTTTCAGTCTGTTGGTTGGTTTCCTTTTTCTTGATTTGTTTCTGCAAATTTTTTATCTGTTTCTGGTTTTCAGAAAAGTTAAAAATTTTCAGTTTGTTAGTCGCAATTCCTGCTAAAGATTGAACTACTTTAGTCATTTTGGAAATTGTACTTTACCTTTCACAGTATCATAAACTCGAGTTGTTTGACCATCAATAACCATAAAAAATCTATCCAGATACCTGTAGATGTATTATTTAAAATCTATCCAGATACCTGTAGACGTGTATTATCTAAAATTCCCTTTAAGAGCAGACGTCTCAAATTTTGGACAATCAACTGTGTAAATGGCAGATCAACCGTGTGAATTGACGATCAACTGTTTGAATGGTTATGCAACCGTGTGAATGGACGATCAACTGTGTGAATGGTTGATCAAATTGTGTGAATGGACGATCAACTGTGTGAATGGACAATCAACTGTGAGGATGGACGATCAACTGCGTGAATGGGCGATCAACTGTGAGGATGGACAATCAACTGTGTGAATGGATGATCAACTATGTGAATGGAAGATCAATATTGTCTGTCAAGGACTGAGTTATGAAATAGAGATAATGGTTTTTTGACATCTTTCTTGTGAATTAAATTAATCAAATAAGAAAACATTCCACTTGAATTATTAAATATTTTGCATTGACTTGACTACATTAATAAATTTCAAATCAAGAAAATAAATCAGCAAGCCAGACAATAAAGTAAGTTTAGAAAATTAAAAATTTTCCTGCTGAAAAATGTTTAAATTGTTTTTTAAAAGGACTTTAGTCCTTAGATGATATGATACCTGACTGTACAATGAAACATCATTGAATTTGAAACAGCTGAACCTATGGGAACTGTTACAGTCCCTAAAAAAACATTTTCTTCGCAGTTAATGTCTTTTATCACTGAAATTAGGGGGGGGGGGACATGCCTGTTGATGTTAGATTCTTATGTATCCCCTTAAATCGTGAAGAATTAGAGAAGGGAGATTTTCTTTAAACTACATACCCCTGGTAGCCATAGATAAATTAACTTACTATTTTCTTGAAGATATACTGTATTTTCAGCCGAGAGACCTAAATCATTTGGTTATAGTTGTACTGTTCTTTGAGTAAGCTATTTAATAAGTTTATTATTTTCGGATCAATAAAAAAGCTTAATGTTGACTGTAAAGCATCATCAATTTCAATTGTTGCAGTGTTACTAGAGGAGGGAGAAGGGGGGGGGGGAGAGGTTAACTTTTAACTGCAAATTCAGAAAATTTTGGATTTCATAATTAAACCTTTATGAAATTATTGTGTACTTAATCATTCTTCCTCACTACATCATGAATTTCATAATGAACCTGCTATAAAGTAATCATCGTGCTATAAAGTTAAATTAGCTGTGCATTAGAGCATGTATGCATTAAATTTTTGATTGAATTCCGGAATTTCTCCAAAATATTTAGGATATTTCCAATATATTTTTTTTTCAATTGAAATGATAATTAAATTGAAACCAACTTTATATTTAGACTTCTGCTTTGTTTCAAAGCTTATTTGATCTATAGAAATAGCCATTGAAATAAGACAAGTACACAAATGTTTCATAAAATTACCTATAACACTATTATTTTGGCACGAGGTGGTATAAAGTTTTTGGACTTAAATTTCTTTCTTTATCAAGAAGATTCAAGCCTTTTTATTTTTAACTTTGTCAGTTGCCTGCTTTCTCTCTAGCAGAACGGACCTACTATGCAAACCCAGAATTGCAGCTGGGGAAGCGCTGTGTTTAGTTACGCATCTAGTATCCTACAGGGGAAGCAAGAATTGTACATAGATTAAAACAAAACTTCATCTTCAGCTTGGTTCACTGAAAGAGGAGTTTAACCCCTCGTGGGAATACAAGCCATGCACAACGATACCGGTTTTTTACTCGACCAGATGTGAGGACTGGACTACCATGGAAGATACCTCTCAAGAGAGCTTTCAGGGATCACAACTCCCCATTTTGCATATGGGGTGCAGTTATGGGTAAATTCCTTAATTCCCCTAACTGGGAAACAGTATAAAATGAAGGAACACAGGGAGAAATCCCCTATACCCTTCTTCCTACAAACCTCCTTATCTCTCTCCTACCTGCTCCACAACTCGACGTTAAAAGAACTATTTGGAAAGGCCTTATGTAAAAACAAGAAACAAGAAGCAAGAAGAAAAAATAAATTGAACAGAAAAAAGTGGAAGGGAAATCTCTTGACAGTAGAGATGGGTGCTTAAAGCAAGATAAACAAGAAAGAAGAAGAAAACTTTGTACAGGAAAAATTAGAAGGGGAATGCACAGGATGGTAGACGTCCCATCCCCCCCTCTATGTCCTACTCTAGATAAAAAAAACTGGAAAATGTGGAAAATGCCCCCCTCACCCCTCTCCCGCTCCAAGAAAAGCTGGGAATGCAATAGCTGACTTGACACTGTATCATGACTGAAGCAAAATTTAAATATAAACAAGGGGAAGAGTAACCTTGCTCTCTCAATATATAGAATATAGATACAGGGCTTCAAAAAAAAGTTCTACCTCTGCAATTTGGCTAGCTGCAGAAAACATCCAAAAATTCATTCATTTTTATTTTCAAAATTAGCCATAGTGTGATTGAAGGATGGACAAGAAATCAAGAAGAAAGGATTAAAAACAAGAAATATAGAAGTCTCAAAATGTTTCCATCTGATATCATATTAAAATTTAAAAATATTGTAAAATTTAATTAAAATAAATTATTGAAAGTTAAAAATTTTTAACTTTGTCCCAAGCTTTAAGGAGGGACAAAATATAATCTAAAAAATTTCTGTTCAAAAACTTTCTTAAAACTGCAAACCAAAATAACAGTGTTATAAATAGTTATTAAATGTATGTCAAGTAATAAGGCAGGCTGGCTCAAATCTCTCGCCATGCATAACTACTCTTTGAATGTTGAATGTTGAATAAAATAACTTAACTGAAATAGTTTAACCTATAGTGTAAAGTTTATCATGAACAATAACCAAGGTAGCATATATGAAAATAACTGAACTTAAATAGTTTAGCCTTTAGTGTAAAGTTTATCATGAACAATAACCAAGGTAGCATATATGAAAATAACTGAACTTAAATAGTTTGACTTATAGTGAAGGGTTTATCATTGACAATAACCGAGGTAGCATATATGAAAATAACTAAACTTAAATAGTTTAACCTGTAGTGTAAAGTTTATCATGAACAATAACCGAGGTAGCATATATGAAAATAACNAATAACTAAACTTAAATAGTTTAACCTGTAGTGTAAAGTTTATCATGAACAATAACCGAGGTAGCATATATGAAAATAACTAAACTTAAATAGTTTAACCTGTAGTGTAAAGTTTATCATGAACAATAACCGAGGTAGCATATGAGAATAACTAAACTTAAATAGTTTAACCTGTAGTGTAAAGTTTATCATGAACAATAACCGAGGTAGCCCATGAAAATGTGTGCTGGAGATATCTAGTGAAACGGAGCCCTGCACAAAGATTTACATTTTGTTATTTATTATAATAAAATGGATGGACATAGACAAAGGGAATAGAATATATTAGAGTGAAATTTAAACGATCCCTCGGTATGAATTTTGTCAGTCCCTCTCGTATTGGTCTGAACTGCCCCAATCAAAATTGGGGTTGTATGTCATTATATAACCCCAATTTTCTTTTTTGGGCTATTTACATCTATAGGTCCCTCTCAGCCTGAGAGGGAGTTCAAAGTGTACAATTTATGTAAATGTTCACAAATTGTATGCAGTAGAGTACATTAATACAGTATGTTCCCTAGACTATCCATTTCAATTTCTAATCTTTTTAAAGCTGTTAAATAAACTTTATAAAATGAATCAGGTGAATAAAAAACATCATTTGATTTATAGTTATAAAGGAAAATCATCGTTGGTCATTCGTCAATCATTAAATTGTAAAATACAGTAATTACAAAAGATGAAACCAGCATATTTCATAATTTGGTTTTCTTTTAAAATTAATTTTATATTTTATTTTCAAAACATTTAGTTGAAGACAATTTTTAAATTGAAGATTCTGATTCCCAAATACTATTCCTAATTGAAAATTTGTCATTTTTAAATATTGAAATGGTACGATATTGTTCGGTAACTGGTTGTAAATCAATCAACAGTTTCAAAATCCTTACATTTCATAGGTAAGAATTGATGCCATTATAATATATATATATAGACCTCTAACTGGGACTACAGTGGGCTAAAAGAAGAAAATATACGAAATAAGATGAAATTAAGGAAGGAGGGGCAACATTTTTCTTCTTTAAAGCTGGAGTAAATGCTGGAGTAAATGCTTGAGGTACAGTTCCTTTGGACTAATACCAAAATGATTTTATCTACACTGATCTCATTTCATTATCCTTTTATCTGATAAAATAAATGAAATAACCCAGTTCAAAAAGTAGCAAAGGGCACGTTTTTTCAAAATTTATATGTGAATTTTTTTCTTCAATATCCAATACAGAGAGCTT